GTCGATGGCGAGGATCGGGTCGGCGGTGATGAGCGACGGGTGACGTCAAGCAGTGGTCGCTATTATCGTTGCACTACTCGTGAGGCGAGGAGTCGGTCGAGGAGTCGGTCGCCGGCGCGTAGAAGGAGACGGTATGGCCGACACACTCACCGATCGTCCAGCAGTTCCGAGTCGAGCGCCGCTGAAGATACCAAACGTCACCAATAGGTCTATAGATCTGACCATTCAGTTGATTAGTATTTCTCGCAATTTATGTCTCATTTTTGGCACTATTTTCGCATTTAATTCTCATTTTGTGCTCAATTTTGTGTTTAATATAAAAATAACTCATTTTTGCTGTAATTTTAATTTCATTATCAATCGATTGATAACTTTTTAAATTTAATTTCATTTGATTTGTTCGTGATTTTTGTTGCTTTCATTTAACACACATTTTCATTCAATTTGTAATGAAATTGTATTTTGAAAATAAATGTTAATTTCTCTTTGATTTCTAACATAACTACCGGTAATATTAAAATTTACAAATTATATCTCATTCAATAAATGAATGAATGAGTAAAATGTTATGAAAGCAATATATTATAGAATATTCTGAATCTAAGAATGCATTACTGTATGAATGACAGCCCATTGAGAGGTGAGTGATTTGGACAGTTATGCTAAACATTGTAGCAATGGTTGAGTAGGTTTATTGTGGACAGAGATCAGTGATCACACCGTAAGAAGTCTATGAAGTGATAATCGTTAGAAACTTCATTAAACACACGGTTTATCACATCAGGATATATATACATATGATATGTACTGTATATCAGGAATAATACTAAAGAATTTTTATTTTAATTCCATTTTAATGAATTTATTTATAATCTTGATAAATTATCGTTTTATTACTATTTCAATATAATTATAATACAGTACAAAACTCGCTGTAATTAATTACTAGAAAAACCTATTACATTTGCAGTGCAGTAATTGTTATCAACACATAAAATCTTGATAATTATTTTTACGATAATTACATTTATTACTAAAAAAGCAATTATTTGCAAATATTTAAAATTGCATTAATTTTCTTAATCACAAACAGTTATATATGTAAATGAGTCATACAATCAGAGGAACGGTATGTTTGGTATAAAATGATGAATTGTAAAGATATTATACGGTAATAATAATGTCAATCATCATTCAGTTAATACTATAATAATACTTTAATAATAGTGTAGTTAATACTTTTTAATGAAAATTATTTCTAACGACAAATGATTTTGCGATAACTTATGATACGATATAAGAGACTAATTACAAGCTATGCTAACATGAATTCTCTGATATGTATCTGAAGTATAGTGTGTTTTACGTCCTCAAAGACTTTCTTAATATTGTCGGTATCGGTGGCACACGTGAAGTGACTGTATATCTGTTTATCCGAATAGGGATTTAAAGCCAAATACATGTTTCGGATGAACTCGCGGGCGGTGTCGGCATTCCTGGTCGGGCCGTCATATTCCGGGAAGTAGTCGACGAGATGTGACATTTGGATCTTCTCGTCAAACAAATCGGTTTTATTGAGAAATAGTATCACCGATGAGCTGATGAAGTACTCGCACGTGATTATGGTCTTGAAGAGGGCCTGCGACTCCTCCATCCGGTTCTGTTCGCAGCTGTGGTCGCACTCGAAGAGCCTCTGATCGTATTCATTGAGTGCCGCCAAGAAAATAATGGACGTCACGTTCTCGAAGCAGTGGATCCATTTCCGCCGCTCAGACCTCTGGCCCCCGACGTCCACCACTCGGAAGCGCACAGAATTCAACTCAAATGTGTATTCATTAATACCGGTCGTCGGCACCCGAACCCTCAGTATGTCCTGACGGGTGGGCATATAGTTGGTCGCCGACAGCCGGTCGATGTCATTGAAGTAATACTTCGCCGAATCACTCAATTGGTACTCATTTCGCCGATTGTAACACTTTTGCACTCCAGAGTCAACCCATAACTGTTTGATGGCCGTCACTACCGGTGCGCTCAGTTGTGTCAAATGGGATGACTTGTAGTCCACATAAATGGTATCCAAAAGCTCTGCGTTCGAGTAATTCAAACGATTTTCGTACTCAATATTCAAGTCACTCATGGCTTTAATGATGGTCTGAATGGCGATTATGATGTTGTGGTAAACGTATTCAATGTATGCCTTCCTCTCGGAGTCCGTGTAGTCCGAGTCGTGAATGATTCGCATTTGCTTAACGAAAGTACTTTTGCCGGACTCTCCCGTTCCCAACAACAGCAGTTTGAGTTGATTTCTGGCATCCTTTCGGTCCCTTTTGAGCGTCTGTTCAATAATTCTGTTTATCTTTTTCTGTTCCTTTGAATGACTGATGCCTTCGCAACAGGACATCATGTCTTCAGTCAACTGGTCGTCACTATCGATGAGAAATCCTCACAAATGATCAGTTTTTGGTGTTTTGTATAAAAGGCCTTCAATTTATTCAAATGCAAAATTCAATAAATAATTCACATATTATTGAAGTCATTACACAAAAAACCCTTTGATTTGTGAATTTCAATGATTCTCACGAAACAAAACAAATTCTTAATTAAATGAGTAGTTTTCGATAAATATTTCTATAAAATTATTAATGAGTTGCATTTCCAATTTAAATGTTTTTTCACTTTCACTTTACAGACATTTGCCAATACTTTACACACAGTTTCTTAGTTTTCATTTGCGGTAAACAGATATTAAATCCAAATCTTTAATACATTTGATGTTAAATATTGAAATTTATTCAATACTTAATATACTAATAAACAAGGTTAGCATTATTCATATTCAAATGAGCACATTTACACCATTACCGATAAGTATGAAGCACTGAGTTTTAGGCACTTTTTATCAAATACTAAACTGTTTTTCGTATTGAATATTATAATTTCGGTGGAATTATTTGATTATTAATTATTTAACGAGAATTTAATGAAATATCTAATGAAATATAGTTTGTATTAAGAGATTTTGAAAATTACAAATAAAGACTTGATATCACATAAGGGAATAATAATTCA